ATCGCTGATATATTTAACGGACTTCAAAATCGAAAAGGAGGAGGTTATATGTTCGACGGCGATGTATATATATTTTTTTATGTATATTCATCGATTTCTCCGAAAATTTTTAACCAATTATGAAAATTATTTTTTTATTCGACAGCTTAATTGACTAAGGTCTCATTTAAACTTTATTGAAATCGAATCATTATTTTGATGACATGTTGATGTCAGCTGGAAAACAAAAGATAGAGTATTTTGTATTCATTCAAATCGGCTTATCGCCCGCTCTCAGGAGCTCTGAGGTGAATCCGTCGTCACCTGCTGCCTTGTTGTTTTTCAGTTGTTTAAGAGCCATACTAATCTCATACAGGCTAACGTCCGGGATATCTTCGGTAAAGTGTCGGGTAAGCTTGGCTCTAGGATCTCTTGCCTTACTGTCGGCAGGTATTTGCGTGGAGTACAACTTTTCATGAAACTCTTTATCTCATTTAAGACGAGACGTCATTTAAGAAGTTTTTGACGAGATGATGCTACCGTTGTCAAATTTCAGCCAAATTGGAAAAGTAAGGTAAAAAAAAGGAAATCAAAATGTAGAACGACAAATTGAACTCCTACAATCAGATGTGCACGTATAGAGGCCAGATTTTCCGAATATTTACTCAGGCATTTCTGCTCGGAAAGGCTCAGATTGGCTTAGGCAGTGTAATGTAACAATTAAGTAAATCTTATATGGTTTAAAAATTGAGAAATCTTCTTCAAAATCGGTTACATGTCAAACTGAGAACTTCCTTTCCTTGAAGTTGATTATAAACTGGTTATTCTCATATCTTATATTTGTCAGTTGTAATATTCTGCGACCGACAAGACGTACTGCACCTTCAGTCAGGTGTATACAGCAGCTGATGTCTTTTTACCCGACTGCGCGACGCAAAGGAGGGTAATGTGTTTATCAGTCTATGTATGTATGTTTGTTTCTATGTGGCGTTCTAGAGACCAAATGCGTAGGCCGATTTTGATGATTCTTACGTCAATCGATTCGTCTTAACCTTGCGAGTGTCACTAAAGACATGACAGTAATCAAAATTCACCACAGCGACAACCAGACGCCATATTGTCTAAAAGAAAAAAATATATATCCATGAACTATGTCAAGTAGAATTCAAATTTTACCAACCAAATCTTTCCAAGGGGCCCCGACTATAAGTCGTTCTGTTCCGTATTATTTAACAGAATTCTAAACTGCTGGGCTTATTTTTCTTTTTAGTTTTTATTTAAGTTAATTTTTTCATGTATTTTTTTTAATTCGTTTTTACGCAGTCGGGTTTTTTGTTTTTCTTTAAATTATTTATTTTTTACCCTTTGTGCTACCAATGACAAAATTGCAAATGATAACTTTATTTTAGTTATTAGCATTCAGTTTATTTACAATTTAAAAGTCTACCTACACCATTCATTAATCTTCGCTTTCATGATTTAACAGAAAACGGTTAATTTTCTATAAACTTTTATGTTTGCTGTTAACCTAATATTGTACTAAGCATTATTCATTCTATAGTTATAATTGACCTACAAAAGAGTGGTACTCCTAACATAGAGACTACATAACTACATTATCCCGTTAGCTAATTGAATATGTTAGATGTAGGTAGACGGGTAAAAGCAATAAATTGTAAATAAGTTTGCCACGTCCGTTGGATTAGCACAACGAGACGGCCCCAATCTCTGACAAATATTTGCTACACCAAATCCATTTGATATTATTGACTGAAATGGTTAACTATTGAATCTGATGACTTGACGTCACACTCACAGAATATATTCGTATTAATTATACTATTTAATAATTAGAGACTTGCAATGGTCTTTTATAAGGTAATTAGTGGATATTTTATTCGTTCTTGCCATTCTTGTCTCGTTGAACTAAACATCGAAAAGAGCATTGTAGATAGATAGATAGAATATTCTTTATTGCACACACAAAGACAATATACACTTATATGACAAAAACAGGATACGTACAATTGGCGGCCTTATCACTAAAAGTTATTTCTTCCAGGCAACCTTGGGATGGAGTTAAATATAAAAGACCTAATGATAATTGTAAAACAAATAATTCACATCAATTTTATAAGGTATAGCTTATATCCATAAATAATATCTTTCTTACATCTTTCGAAGTTCTTTGGTCATAAAAACCATTTTCTTTTTCAATATTGAGTTAAATATTAAAACATTATGTGGAGATCAGTTTGTTAAGCTCATCTTAACGCCTCCAGGTGGCACACGTGGGCAATATGGCCAATGATCCTCTCCGCCATTTATATATCTATACACCCGGTACAGTGCCAGATCCGGTGAGGGTACAACATGTACAACCATTTTATTTAACAGACACAATGTTAATCGCATAACGTAATCCCTTTACAGGCACTGTCAGCATATCGTTCTAAAATTGCGTAATAATATCACATGTACGAATAATGCAAAAGATGAAAATACCGCAGTTCTGGTCCCATTTCTCGTGAATATGTCTTGGTGTACTGACGTAAGCGTAACTGTTTAAGTTGGCACTGTTATATGAACTCGAAAAAAAAGTACAGTGCCTATTCGGTATACTTACTTACTATCTATAGTGATACTACTAATATAGTATATTTACTTATGATTGTTACGAAGCTACTTTGTCTGACGCTTGACAGTACTTTGACCGATTTACTATTATATCAAAGTAAAGGTATTAATCACCGGGCAAATCATCTCACAGTTAAGATAATGAGGGAATCCTATTAAAGCATTAATCGGTTCCTTCGACGTCAGAACACAAACGAGCACCATTCAGATCAACATTTACCGCCCATTTTGTACCTTTAACGACCGTAATCTCCGCCTAACGCTAATCTATTCAGTTTAAAGGCTACACATTAATGGAACTCAAAGGCCTTTGATGCAGTCCACGGGTTAATCTGGGCCCGAGCTGTCCCGAGCGCTGACCGAATAATGCCGAAGGTAATGCAACTGCGGGTGGCTTGCTAAATTGTGGCTCTTTGTGGACTTTCAGACAATATTTTGTACATTTTGTTAACAATAAGACTTCTTGTTCGACCCTTTTCTTTAGCCAGAGTATGTTGGTTTCTTTATTCTTAGTAGGGGTCGTTGCATTTAAAAAATGTAAAACATCTTTGAAATACATGCCCACTTCTTAAATACTAACAAATCATGTCATAAAAAGAACTATCAGGGATTTTCGCCACTTGGTTTGTTTTTATATTACACATACACATTTTTGAGGTTTAGATGGCCAGCAAATGTATGTAAGCCGCTGCGTGTTGCGTTTCATCAAAATCTAAATTAGCCAGACGTAAGTATATTGAATCGGAGAAAAATAACTAAAAATACGTATTTGAGAGGCAAAAGTTGCTGCAGCTAACGGTCAAGTTTCATATATCGCCTGGACAAAAATCGGCCATGAACATCTTAGCTGGCTCACCGGCTATCAACATTTTAAATGATAAAACCCTTTTGGAAGCTAAATATTTACAGGGTATCCTAAAACATAAACAAAACCTCAAATTATATAGTTTAACTTCGATAATTTACCGAAAAGTAACCAATATTTTCGTTAACCACCAGTCTTCTTTACGATTTTGTATGTATCTAAAAAAACGTGGCACTGAATATCGTGTCATTACAATTCAGTATCAACAGAGTGACAGGTAATTTGTTCATTCAAATCAAAGCATTCGAATAAGACATGGAATATAAAGAAAACATAGCTTATGTTAGTGTATTTTTTATTCGAAATATTTTCACTTTTTGTTTAAATAAATAATCCGAATTGCACAGAGTTAACACTTAATTATATCAAAAACACATAAAAGTAAACTTCATTTAAAAAATAAGTATACTATCGCACCCTTTAGCGCGACTCTTTGACATAACAAACCTTTGCTTAGTTCTACGATAATCTACGTCATTAGTTTCTTATGTATGATTATCATATATAGTATAGATTATTATATAAAAAAAAAACAAATCCAAAAGTATTTGAACTGAGGATATAGAAGGAACTTCACGTTTATATAATAACAAAATATCATTTCGCACACCGACGCTTATTGGGTCGAGGACTTTATTGACACAGAATGACAAATTCAAGTTCTTTTATATATTCAATAACATTCAAGTCATCTACCATCATAAAGGTATATAAGTATCATTAAAAATATTTAAGTAATATTTTAAAGAGCAAATATTTGATTTGTGCAGTGAACTGCCTGTAAAACTACTGAACGGAATCCAAATTTCCTTTTACGCAGGCAGGCTAATTTACGCAGGCAAAGTCACGGGAAACAGCTACTTATGTATAAAATACGTAAACTATGTAAGTATAATCAATCGGGCAAAATTCCAACAGCGGCATCGATTTGTCAAAGTTCACGAGCGAACTCTTCAGCCGATAGAAATTTAACGTTAAATTACTTCCAAGGAAAACTTGTAAGCTGATTAATTTAGATTTCATTTCGTTGTTAGGTACCGCAAATTGAAAGAAAAATCCTTAAAAAAAAGTGAAAAATAATACTTATCTCAGAAGAGTCTGGCGGAGGTTTTTCTATAGGCGCCCGACTTCAGGTTCAGGTTCTGTTCTATATTTATTTAAGTTTTGCTTATTTCATGCTTTAAGTGATATTGATATTTTTATATAATAGGTACAACTAAAAATACTTTACTGAAAACTTCGCAAATAGTCGTCAAAGTGCGAACCTCCATTTTTTAGTCTGTTAATATACCTATAACCTTCTCCTAAGTTTGACAAATACTATGCTGAAAATTGAAATGGGACCACAACAATTTTCAAATAAAAGAAAAGAATCAATAGGATCGGTTCGCCCTGTAAAAAGTTTTTAGGTAACAAACATCACGTATACTTAATGCAAATTTCTGGTGTCTGTTGATAACATGTAATATTTTTTCTAAAACCTTATATACATGTTGAAAATCGCAAAAAAATATCCGGAGTATGGCCACTATTTGGCATAAATATATATATAGCCAATACTTTATTATGTCTTCGGTAGAAAATAAAAAGTTTCCTTAAAACAAGCTTTTATTTGTCCTCACTAATAAAATTGGAGACGAGAAATACACTTATTTTTACGCGCTACAAGCTTTTCCAGTCAATAACTGTTAGAGAAAATTTTGAAAACTCAATAACTGAATAAAACATTTATCAATAAACGCTCGCTTTAACATGTCAAGTAAGTACTGCGGGATAACAAACTGCATGTACCACGCCTCAATCACAAAAAACGGGACAAGCCACAGTCCAGTGTCAACCTGCTGTACTTCTTACATGAAAGGTGTCACAAACAAGATTGGAAGGATTTTGAAGCGAGCTTCAAATAATACTTACTTTCAGCCGCCGAAGAAGATCAACCAATTCTTAAGACCTGTCAAGTGTAATCCGCTTTTAAGTTGTAGCTGTATACAAACTAGAATGCGACTGTGGGCTCTTATAGATCGGGTAGACAAAGAGGAGCATAGGAAGTCACGTTACATACAGCTGACGCTAAGCATAGGCGCGCAATAAACACGACAGTTTGTGTTAGGAGGACTCAAGCATTATTAAGTAAGTCAAATGTATTTTTAAAATAATATAATTTAATAAAAGTAAACGTTTTCATTAATGATAAAAAAAATATATTGTGAATATGTATTGTTTTGAAGGTAGCTATACTCTTAATTAAAAAGACAATTAACACCTTTGTCTTATGCGAACACGGATCCTGTAGAGTCTGAAACATCAATAAAAGAAAAATAGATAGGCGATGAAAACGTTCAAAAGTTGTATCTTTTATGGGTAGTGCCCGTGATAATATAGGAAATCAAAAGATGGCGTACTTTGCATACATTCAATATCCGAAAGAAGAAATTTCTATGTTCAACGGTTATTTACATAAAAGTATACACTTTTATGCAAGTACATAGGTACGAGTATGTTCATCGATTTGTTTATGGTATGGTATGGATTACCATACACCAAAATATTTATTTTTGGTGTATGGTAATCCATACCTTTCAAACCATCCATAATTCCAACCTTTTTAAGTGTCATTAATTATTTTTGAAAAATAGAACTGACCTTAAGCTTTAAAGAAGTGGACAAATATTGTTCATTGAAGTCACTTGTTTAAAGATTGAAGTCGATTTTATTTTTTGATTTCTTGTTTTTTATATTTTTGTTTCTCTACTACTTAACCGTACTACCTAATTTTTTCACATTATATCTATATAAAAATCCTCATCCAGAAATCCTTTAGTGTTGTTTAATACAATGTAAATTTACTCAAAAATGGAGGTACGATAAAGGAACACATTTAACTAGTATATATAGAGCTGATCCGTTTGCTGAAATAATACTCGTTCACAAGCGTGACACATGGATCTCCCAACCGTACACTGTTAATACAGATGCAACATTTCAGTGCACGTTAGATGTATCCCGCAAACACAGCGGTAGTAAGGTCTGTGTAATGTTGACAGATACTAGTAGATTTGCAATCGACGCTCATGCCTCTAGGTATTTAGTGAAGCTGTACAAACATGCACATCGGACCCACGTCCCTAGACTTAGTCTATAAATGTTTCTAAAATTCGTTTATGAATGCAAAACTTACTAAAATTAAAGGTCAATCTTTAATCACAGTAGTTTTGTTTACAATCAATTTGATATTAGGTGCTCGATGCCCTCTTAACGTTGAGTCTTCAATAGATGTTTACCCGCACAAGATAAAGGCAACATCTGTGCGCACCTTTATGAGACGAAACCTCATTATGGTATTCCCGATGTTCCGCACTTAATTAGCCGCAGAACAAATGGCTTCTGCCGGAACAACGCTGAATTGGTTTGGCGCGGTGCGGTGAGACGGCGCGGGCTGTGTTGCCGTCTCATTCTGTTGCTTACAGTAATAAATAGATTACTGATTATGATGTTGGAGGGGTTCTATCTGAAGCCGGAAATACAAATAGTGTTTAAGAGATTATTTCTATCATTTGTGAGGTAGGGCGCAAAAGCAACCCTAACATTCAACACCTGCAAGCGTGTAAGCCAACACTGTTGTCCACTTAAAATTTCTAGAATTAACGATCAATTAAAGAGTATGCTGCTCAAGCATTGCGGAGGCGCGGGGAACTTGTAGTGTTTTTATTTTATTTTTTATTTTATTTAAAAGAACAATAAAAAAGTTAACTTTTTGGGTGCAATATTTATGTATTACCAATGAGCCGTTACAGGAAGAATTCGTCAAGAACCATAAATAATATTACTTTTTAAGATTATTTTATGATGACCGAGTTTACGTTGTCGATTAATACATTTATTTTTTATATAATTCTCGTTTAAAATAGTTCTCCAGTAAACTTTTTCAACCGCACCGATTTGAGCGAGCAATCCCATTAAGGTGAACTCAAATTATAACGCAGTGCTGTGTGAGAATTTAGTATTTAATCTATCCCTTGCTAGGGTTCCCTCCCCTACGGATAATACGCTTATAATAATCCAATGTGCATAAATATGACACGTCTTCTTCGATCCGTGTATAACTTTATATATTAACATTATAAAGTACGTCAAGGCGGTATACGCGTGACACTTGACTCGAATAATTGGTAATGTTTTTCAAGTGTTTGTCCTAGTTTTCCTTCGTTTATCTTTATTTTAAGTAACTTTGTTGAAATGTATAATTGTTGTTACCTTTATCATACTTAATTATTTTCTTTTTACAAAAAAAAAAATACTAGTATAGTTTGAGTATTGGTGTAGTAATAATATTATTATTAAACTAGATGTTCAGCCGAGATGTTCGGTTCAGATGCAAGCGTGAGGCAAGAAAACTAGTTTAACCAGATGTCTGCGTTTTAGTTGATTAAAAGAAATCTAAATCTTTTATTCAGGCTAGGCTCATACATAGCACTTGTGAAAATCGAAAACTACACCAACGGTTCGCACAACTACGGCGGGAGACCTTGCACTGAGAAGAACCAGCAAGAAACTCAGCAGGGGTTTCTTTTTTCTCCCTGTTTTATTTCCTACAGGGTCGCCTTATTGGAAAGTGACTTCATTAGACTGTGAAGTTACTTTCCATTACGATAATAGATTAACAAGACAGATATTTTAGATTAGTGATTAATATGCCGGCTGCCGAGTCATACATACTTATTAATAAATCAATATGCAGTATCCATAATAAAAGAAAATTTACGAAATTAAGTAGTCCAGAGCAGACTCATCCCAACTGGCAGCAGCCGTTCACGAGCATGACGCATGAGCCAGTCATCGCTTCGCTCTACCATGTTTTAGGGAACGTTATACGAACCCGACACCACCACTGAGAATTTTAAGAGAGCGTGACCACTCTAGATACTTAAATTATGCAGTGAATTAAGGAAGCTTTGCACATAATACATAGGTACAATGTTAATTACGTTAGGTTAAAATATCTAACACCATGCCTTTTTGTCATTTAGATATTCTTTGACGGCACAATGACATCCTTTGCTTTAATACGATTTTTAAAATGATTTATTGGCAGATCTAATACATCACTGGGGATCTTGTTAAAGTACTGTATACCTTGACCCATAAATGAACCTAATACCTTCGGTAACCTGTAAGAAGGCATTACTAGCGTGTTTTTATTTCTAATGCTATGTTTGTGTACATCACTATGCTTGGTATACAAATATTGTTCCGGACAAAAAGTATACAAATATATATAAATTGATTAGCTTAGTTATAATTTATAGTGTTATGACAGGAAGGAGGGACTTGTCTAGGTTATATTGAATCCACTACTAAACGTATGTTACCCGTTTCAGAAAACAATGCAACCCGCTATTACCTATTTTTTCACCTCTACTCCTGATTCAATTATTTTTCCATTAGAGTTTTCTTGCACGCGCGCCGCTATGTCGGCAATTTGACCCGGATTCGTTCTGGTTCACAAATGTTTCTGGTTGTGTTAAATTGTATTAAATCTGTTTTATTTTGCTACATTAGTTCAATACAAAACGAGGATACTCATCTATATTATACAGTTGATTGATTATATATAGCCGTTTTTTGTTTGAATTTATGGTTTTCATGGGGTTCCAATTTCGGACCTTCTTAGTATCGGTCGTATCTGCTGTCGTTAACACCCAGTTAGACCCTTCTGGTGGTGGTTATGTCCTCTCTTTGGGAAAATCCGTGCTCGGGTAACGGAAGCATTAATAGTCTACAATTAAAAGAATGAACAACTTTTCTGTTTAATGTCTTGTTTATAGATTTATCTACCTTTAACGTGGTAAAAAAGAATAACTGCATAGAATTGAAGTAATACTCAATACAGCTCCGATCAAAACATAGATTTCCCTGACCACCTCAACAACTGCAGCTTTAAATCAGAAGTTCAAGCAGCGGTCGCAGCTGTGCAGATAAATATGTCCTGCTGTCCTAATCCCGACCAAATAGATATCCCAAGCGGATATTTTAAAGGCGGTTTAGAAGAAGCAATAAAATAAAGTTGGCTTCTTTCAAAGTCTTATAAGTACCTAAAGAGATTTCCAAACTATTTATTTGCAAAGAAGTTTTGTGTTTAAAAGATATACGGGATTATATATAAAATAATAAGCTGACTTTATAAAAGGTGAAATGACTAGTATTCAATATTAAATTATCTTTGGTTGTGTCTATTTGATTATATCAAATTTTCTTTTGTTTGCTTAAAGTAGGTTCACTTACAGATTACTGTTGTAGTAGTTAACGATTCGATTAAGATTCGATTAGTTGATTAAGAAAAATATATCAAGTTAAATTAAGTTAAACAGATGGCGTTGTTCTCTGTTAGATTGCGCTTTTATTTGTTTGCCCTTACTAATATAGTAAATTTGTAGTTTCCCTTAATATTAAATAAAATATATTTTGTGGCCCAAATTGAACTGATAAATTAAGTTTTCCTGATCGATGTGAAAAGTAAATTGCAACAAACGGCGCTTATTACTTAGTGTCTATTTAAATAACGGATAAATAAATCATATTAGATCCTCGTTTAAGAATCTATTATTAAAGTGTGCATTATTAACATTATTTTTGTACTTATTTATTCTTAGATCATATTAAAGCCTGCATTAAGTAGCGCAAAATAACTGCAAACAAGGAGCTTGCTTCGTATTCCTTGCATATTAATAGGTTGTCCGCAAAATGACCTGCCTTATGTCTCCAATCTTGAATTAAGTGAGGTTCTTCAGGACGCCACCTAATTTACATTCTAATTGAAGTTTACACCAACCTAACATCACATTTGGGTATATGTGGGTCTTTAAAGATAAATATCATTAGTATAGCATTTACAAGAGACTAATACTGGACTGGCTCACTGGACTATCTCGGCTACTGGTCTGGTGTTAGTGATATCTTAGAAATTGAAGTTGTTTGTTTATCTGACTGGAGGTGTTTCTTTATGGCATAGTGTTGCTAACCAGTTAAGAGTCTAAGTTTTCTATTGAAATTGGTAAACTCTTTATTTTATGTGGCGGAAGTGTAGAGTAGTCGAAAATCTCGTTTGAATAAAGTATATTGTGATGTAACAAAATTTTAAAAAATCTTTGTCTCTATTACAAATATTGGAATATCTATGATATATTTGATTTAGAGCTCGATTTAATTATTGAATTGGCAGTTATATTTGGAGTGATTTAAGACTATGTACTCAACAGTAGAGTACTCGCTTTTGTTAGTGCCTCCATCTTTCAATAAAACAAGGGGTACTTTTTTATTGTGAACGAGCCGCGCGAAGGCTCTCCGGAGCAAATGATCGGAATATACGATATCTATCTCAGTAACCTTCATCATAAGTACCTACTTTTATTAAATTGCTGTTTGATCCTTTTTGCCTTGGGGCTTTTCCATCAATGTCATTTCTTTTATTGGCTACTAGTCGCTTTAATACCGTCGATGGATTGATGCGATTTGCGAAAT